ATTTCATCTGATTCTACTAGTTTTGTGTAAAACTATCATGTAAGACTAACTTCATCTTTAATTTAAATCAGAAACTTACTGGTATGTATTTAATATAATATAATGTCTTTATTCTGGAAGCAATTTCGGGGATTTTCAGTACGTCATATAACACTAGTTGGACAGAAGCAATGTATATGCATACATAATAAAATAAAATTAGAGCCAATTACACATGAAATATGAGAATATTTACTCCGTTTACAACTTTTTTGAAACTGTAGAATTAACTTATGTAGATGGTTACATTACCAATTAGATTCATAATACATAAATGGTAACATTCTGTGTACTCGTCAATTAGTTTGGTTTCGAAAACAGAATTTAATCAGTTAGTTCATTTCTAATACTGTCTTCACCACACAGATGAGCTAAATACGGTATTGTAGAGATTTTATACTACGTGGATAAAGTCTTATATATTTGCTTCTTATCTTTCCTGATGAGGGACATGCAGAGAGCTTGCTGGTCTTATGATAAGACAACTCCTGCCACATGTTTACAAGAGTTAATGTTTGTCAGCAGTTGTTTTAAAAGAAGGTTCAGAGGTACACCACAAATTCTGCTGACAATCTTCAAAGTTCTACGCAATATAGCATAGTCTTTTTTAGCAACCCGGGAAAGAATAAATTGAAACAATAGAGAAGAACAGGCAAGATACAGGAATTCATAAAATGCAAAATGAGGGGCTGAGTAGTACCAGATACTGTCAGCTTCCTGATATAGAAAGTTAGGCAGAAAATGCGTTTGGAAATTAGTAAGTTATGGGAGGAGTAGGAAAAGCTCGAAGAAAAACACACAGATATATCATACTTGTAACCTTCTCTAATACACAACCATCAGTAGAACGGGAATCATGAGAACAAAACAGTTTACATAAATTATATTCACGTCTGAAACCAAAGTTTATAGTCTGACATTTTGCAGAATTGAGCATAAGACTATTTACGAATGATTATTATCCAATAGTAAATAAATAAATAAATATTTTATTCTCACATTAGTAATTTAAGATAAAAGAAGCCAGTTTATAGGCATCGTCACATTGATATATGTCGGAAAATGTACAAGATTTTACTGGTCGTGAATAGTACAGTGGGGAGGTCGTTAAACTCTATGAAAAACATCAGAAGATCGCGGTTACGGGACGAAGAAGAAAATGCCACTTTACGGCATATGCAGAAAGTCAAATTGAAGATGATAAGAATTCTTATTCTCATGTAATGGATTTAACATGAGTGATACCAGTTAACAAGCACCGTCAAACTGATAATTCTTGAAAGTTTACAGAATAGTATTTGGTATTATATAATCCACATAACAAGTTATTGATGTTCATAACCTTATTAAAACTTGATGCACATCATGTGACAGGCATGAACTTCCATCTGCCATTACACAGATAGGTCCCACTATCAATAACAAAAGCACGCAATGTTTGAATTTTGCGTTATAACTAGCCGACGTTGTCATTCCATTTGCATAGTTTGTTATTTAGTAATAAAACCATCCATTCATTAGAAAGTTCTTCAGTTTTTAGCCTTGCCAACCACAAAGGACCAATTTATTTTATCAGAATTATTAGTAAGTATCCACAGTTATATAACCAAGGTGAATGTCTAAATCAATGCATCTCCAGTTCATCATGTTATGTTTAAAGGTAATATAGATTAATACCACTGGGATTACTTGTAGTAGTAGGTGGAAATACCTGCTGAAACAGTTAATGATCCAAATGGCGGCAGTTATACATAGCCTTCAGGCATCTTTCATATTAGTGTAAGCAGAAACATTTGAGAAGTGTATTTGATACGTAATAACTTTTACTTGAAAAGATCACTTGATACAGAGTACTAGAGAACATGTAGTTTGGAACAACTGCAGGTAAGTCGTGTTCCGATATGTAAAGTGGTCTTGTTTAATCGTTTGTTCAGGATATTTGTACCACTATGACTGTTGGGAAAGTTTAAACGGTTCGTCACTTTAAGAATCCTGACCAGTAGGTGAGTTGATTGCGAAGATGTTCCAGAAACCGCGACAATGATTGCTTGTGAACAATCCGTTGAAGAAGAGACAGTTTTGCGAACTGTTAGGTTACCAGCAAATTCGATAGAACTGATGCTAGATGAAGATAGTAAGTTATGCAGAAAGAAAGAGAAAAGACAGGGGGAAAGGGTGGCTCCTTGGGGAACGCTAGTCTCAGTAAACATTGAGGTGGAGCAATTCCCTCTGTGAACAGTATGTAGTTTCCTTTCTGAGAAACAGGACTACAGCTGATTATCCCGGATTCAGTGTGACATTCAGAGTGCTTCTTCTGCCTTTATATGAATTGATTAGAGTCTCCGAAAGCCTTCAGTGAGGGTTCAGGCACAGGTTATTATTAGCTTCTGTATTATTTTCAAGAATGGAGAAGTAACTGCAATCGGGTGGAATTTCGGACATGCGTCTGAAGTCCCTCATTTAGGTACGAGGACCATATTAATATCTTTCCAGGCAGCCGGTTTGGTGTTTTCTAAAAACGATCTTCTAAACATGTAAGCTAATGGATGGGATAAAATATCAGCATCCTTCGAAAATAAGAAGCGCCATATGGACCTGAACTGTGCTAAGGGTTCGGGGATTTGAGACATTTGAAAGTATCTTTCTCGGTGAACTCTGGACAGCATTCTTCATTTGCAGTGTGAGGACATAGTGAGATGTAATATATGGGTTGGCGTATAAACGATTTCTTCAAAGAACAGATGTCGATATTTACTTCTTTAGTGATATATTCACTACCGGTGAGGGCTTTAAAAAGTTTCCACATGATAGAAGAGCCTTTGTATGACAAAAGTATCCGGTTATATAGTAGACTCAGACGTTCAATCCGTAACCTAGCTAAAGCGCTCATTCGATGAGCACTAGGATTATCATCTACTTTATATAGCTGGTGACGGTACGTATACTCCTTATTGTAAAAAATGTTAAAGTGAACGCAGTCGATGAAATATATGATGTTAACTTTTTCGGTCTCCAACTGAGCACAATTCATTTCAATCAAACTTCTGGGTTTTATTAGCTTCACCTCCCTGCTTACACTGCTTGTGGACACAACCCAAGTAATTCATTTTGATCGTCAGCGAAAGCTCCAAATAGGATTGAGTGCTTCTTGACTATTTACGTTGTTAATTAACGTAATATGTCTAGATCTTCATACGTTTGACACGTAAACAGTTGCTGATTTCCTTTCTTCTCAGCTGTTCTAAAAATTTACTATGTTATCTTTAGTTTATGAACTGTTTTCAGTGACTCAGAAGATACAGTTCTGAGTGAAAAGAAAGTGCTTTATAATTTGAAGAGTAATAATTCCACTCTTCACCATTTTATCACAAGTATGCCTTGATGTTTAAATTTCTATTTTACAGTAATGTGATTCCCACATGCTTCATTCAGGATAGATATCAAGTAGGTTTTCCTAATTTCTTTTTCTTAGCATGAATTAGATTAATCCTTAAAGCTTTATCTAATCCTCTAAGGTATTTACAAGAAAAACAGTAGATAGAATTCTTGTAATTTAAAATAACTTAAATACTGAATTTACCATTATAATCCACAAAAGTGGATAATATGTATACTTTTGTGACTCATTACATGTAGCGTTAAGTATCTGATTCAAATGTGATCTATTTTAGAAGTAGGATAGTATCTAGTGAGAGTTGAACTGTCAAAATTAACGCCAAAATTAAAACAGAATGTCAGAAATTACATTTCTGCGGGTCATAGATCTTTATGTCATAGTTACAAATATAACTGTTAATAAGCGTGAGAGAGAGATAGGGTCAGGAATGAATACCACATTTTACTTTATGCTTCTGAACAAACCAAACTTGCAAAAGTGGGCTTATGTGCAAAACGTTATCTTGGCAACTCTCAGTGCAATTCAGGACGTACGTTTCGTTCTATTCAAGGCTCACCGGCTGGATATACTTGCACGCCGTTGAGTGATTTCTTTCCCACTGAGACTGGGACCCAGTTCTCATCACTTTGAACGCCAAAGCACTATCAACAGTGTCCCTTGGGTACGAGAGTCACCACTTGTGGTTGACCCTTTTGCGTTTGAAGTGATGGGTCCTAGGTTCGAGTCTCAGCGGGAAAAACATCACTTATCGGCCTGTAGATACATCCAGCCGACGAGTCTTAAATAGGACGAAACGTGTCTCCTGGATTCCCCTGTTAGTCGCCAAGTACAAGTATATCTAATAGTATCGAGGCTCCCACTTAGCAGCCTATCTGCCAACAGAAGTCTATTGGTTCGACCCTTTAGAAGAACAGAAAACTGTAAGTATCAAACAACGGATGAGTAGTAGGTAAAAATATATGATATTAATGTGCTTCCGAACTAGAAATCAAGACATTTCAGAATCTCTATAATTTTATTCCTTGAAATTTGGATCAAAATAACCACAAAACTTATCAACACTGTCTTATTAATTCAAACTTCATGAAAAAATTCTGCACGACTCGAAATTTAAGAAAAACAGTAGTCTTAGTGGAACACGAATACAAGACAAATTCCATCCAATGGGTTATAAGAATTTTATCATTTTGTTCAATGTTTCAGTGAACTGGATTACAAAGAAGTAAACTGAGTGACTTTTAATTATTTATTAAAATCATAAGCACTCATTTGACTTTTCATTGTCTGTTTTTCATTTAGATACCTGTATTTGAAAATACTCAACCTCACTTCAACATTTTCTGATATATCTACCATAAAAACCTGTGAAAAATAACTAACTACTCAAGTTCAAAAGAAGAACTCCAGTGTTGCCTATTTCCTAGACATTGGATTTGTCAAATGTAAAAGACAGCTTCAAGTTACAACGGAGTTTAACGAAAATTAATCCCCAATCACAAAAAACAATATCATCTGACTACTGTTTTCTTTTCAGTCGTTAGTTTGACAACTTATCATATCATTAATGAAAAGCGAATACTGTATTCTTCTGTTGTTATTATTGTCAGTCTGTTCGACAAGGCAGTCAACAATAAGTACCGGTAAGTAAATAGAAGTTTACAAAATGTGGTTATTGTTGTTTCCAGCTTCCTATCAGTTACCCGTAGGATTTGAATGATTCATATCGTAACTCACTGTTTTGAAATGAGAATATTGCAGCTGGTATATCGTAATCATCTGTGCATTTTTTTAACGGGTAGTTAGTTGATTCATCTGTAAGCGCTGTGCAGAAAATGATAGATGAATCCAGGCCAATTCCTGGACAGAATTATTTTTTCTTTTCCCTAAATTTCAGCAGTGAATAACTTACTGCAAACTAATATAGGTGTAAAACTTGGGCACTGGTAGAATTTAATTCCATATTAGATTTATTTACTTGATTTATAACACAGAGATATGGTATTATTTACAAGTAAATAATACTGTATCACTGTGTGTTGTAAATCAAATAAACAAACCTGATATGGAATTGCTGCTAACTGTTGAAAGTTGATATAGAATGCAGACAGGTACTTTTGATGACGTAGTTGTCTATTGCAATACGGTAAACCCTGTTCATCATTTAGTAAAATGGAGTTATTTAAAGGCCTAAGTGCTGACTTGTTGTGAGTTTGCTTAGCGATTACTGTATAAGCATTGTTGTGAAGAATTTACGATAGCGAAAGTAAAGAACTAAAGAGTTAGATCTTTATTTTGGAGGAGCGGGGGGGGGGGGCAATTCGTTTTGCTTGCTATTACTTCTCAACTTACATAGTATCAGTTGTATTCCATATTCTTTAAAATGAAAGTAACATTCAGTAAAACCAAGAAAGGAAGTAATATAAACATGGACTTCATCTAAGAACTCTCAGTGCCTCAACTAAGAAGAGATTAACAACATTGATGAAGAAGATGATATTGTCAGTTGTCTGATAACATTGTACGTTTGTATAGTACTGAATGTCACTTACTCTACTCTCCATCAATGTATTGTATTTAAAATTCTTCAACTGTTTGAATAGCAAACAAACTTCAGTTGACATCTTTTTAAACAACTAACTGGCGGATAAATGTTTCATATCATTTAATCCTCAATCATTGAACCTGCGCTGATATATAAATTTCGCTTATCAATGGAATGCATAAGAATCCATCTGATCACGGCGATTTAAGATTAACAAGTCTGGTTTAATCAAATGAATTCTTATACTTTCTGTTGTACATAAATAAGACAAATTCTTACAGCATGGGTTAGATGTGAAGCGATAGAATAATTAACTTTGAACTACTCATTTACAAAGATTGAATGTATAGAATCCACTAGATGTCTAGGTGTGAAAATTGTTATTGGTCTTCTTTGCTCCTTACTCAACCATGATGTTAAAAAGTGTGATGATGTACTTCGCTAATCATATGCTTAATGTAAATGACATTACAGTAGCAGCTAAACAGATAAACACACATAAAAAGGAGTTATTTATGCTGTCTGTCTTCATTTCGTGGAGTAAATATCGGTTGGAGTTCAGAAAAGGCAATATTCATTGCTTTTCAAAGTAATTCTTAGGTGTTAAGTCGCACCTTCACTTGTGATTTAATCACAGAACTGCAGATTTAAAACCAATGTCTTCTTTAAAGTTATCGGTATTTTCACTTCTACTTTACTTGTTATTTGCTTTAGTGAGAACTTATCTAGATATCTATTTATACTGAAGAGATCAAGGATAGCATTAAGCTTCTCCCAGAACATATCATCTCAGCAGATTAATCAAGCTCAGTGGACTAGACATTTGATGAACACGTACTGCAAAGTTTTCGGGTCGATTTCTTATTTGAATATCGTTAATAATTTGCTTATCTTGATGTTAGTAGTCTTCTTCTATGTATTGTGCTGATAAATCAGAATTATACGCTTAAAATTTAGATTTCTATGTAGTTAAAAATCCGTAAATCCCAAAAATGCACTAACGTCAGCTTAAGTAAACATAACTAAAGTGCAACTACAAGGATTACTGAAGAAGATGACTCATAGCATTTTATAACAATCAAAATCACGTCCAGTAGGTAATATGAGTAGTTTTTTAGTTAAACACCACTTATTCATACCTTTAAAGTTGGACCCGAATAAATGTTTTCGTTTTGGGATTTGCCGCAGACGCGTAGGAGGTAATCAAAAGTAAGAAATTAAACCCAGAAATGTAGTGGATATTAGACATTGTAAACTCATTTACAGTTCAAATGGTGCCAAATGCGTTATATTTTCAAGCAGAAATAAAACAACTAGGATATATTATCCTTCGAAAGAGGTCAATACCACCTCATCTTGAAGCAAAGCTTTTTCGGTCACTTGTTAGAGAAGTATATCCCACAGTTGTATTTACTCAGATTTCTAATCAGCTCATCTACCAATATAATAAATTCTACAACACTACTAGTTACCGAATGAGGATAATTGAAGTGTATATCCAGTTGGCCCCAAGTAGCAGGTAAATATTATCTTCTTTGGTGTTACTGGAAACACAGTCAAGTCATCAAAATCAGTATATATATATATATATATATATATATATATATATATATATTATGTATATATATATATATATATATACGTGATGAAATATAGCCACTTACTAATCAGTAAGGACAGCAATAATTTTTTATTACAGAAACATTTATTTTCAACCACCTTGTTATCAGTCTGTAAGGCCATATTTATAGATAGTAAGATTTTGGGTAGTTGCAAAAAAATGTAGCTCAGTCAATCTGCATTTTTTGTTTAAAGGATGGTTGAAGCTGACAAGAAGGAAGAATTGAGATCAATAGATAAAATACTGATCAAATGCTGTTGTTAAATGATAATAATGATGATGAACATGATAAAATTCATAATGTGAAGTGGAATAATATTATTTAAAGGAAAATTGTATAATTACAGCCAAGGTGTAAACAGATATTTATCATGTGCTTTCGAATGTAAAATTTAGGTTTTGATCATGTACAATTAATGCCTCAGCTGTGGTGGTTAAAAAAATACTTTTTGAGTTCAACTTAGATTCAAAAACGGCCTATTAGATGAAATGAGGGTAAGTAAATGACCTGATTCCACCAATTGTTGAATTACGGATAATATTATTCTTCCTCTTATACTTCCAAGTTCTTGGGATAGCAGTCTTCGGCAATGTAAAAAACGCTTATGGATGAAATTAGCTAGATGACAAACACTTGATGTAATAAATAGACTACCTGTTCAGAATTAAAAGTGGTTTTCAAACACTATTCATAAGGCTGTGTTTTGGTTTCGATCGCATGTAACTAGTCTTAAGTGTCTTAAAGTAGGACATAGCAAACTTCTAGGAATTTTGTCTTATTAATAGTTCAGTAACAAATGTCGCTTCACATTACAATTCGTCCCTTCTCTTTTCAGGAGTGAATTATCTTTCTACTAAGCTTTCTTTAATTATCCTTATTGCTTTTTATGTTCCATCCTGTTTCAACTGACCTATTCCGCTTAAATTCATTAATAAATAAGGTGAAATAACTGAATAATTATGTTATTAAATTGTCGCTCTAATAAGCTCCTTGGATCAGCTTGATTTCATTTCATATCCGAATTTTTAAGTGAATAAATTATTCTAACTCCCCGGTTTTCTTAGCTTTTCTTCAACTTCCTGTACACTGAATTTTTCAGATATAACTGGATGATAAACCATTTAACTAAATTGCTGAAGAACCAGCTAACTGCTTTCACAGCTGACTAGTTTATGAAGTTTTGTGGTCAGTTGTTGAAGTGAATTAAAAGTTGTTAATCAATGAATGTTCTTATCACAAAATAAGTGTAAACCTTGTGTACTGTGGTAGGATGTAATTCCATATTAGATTTTTTTTATTTCATATACAGCACACAATGATAGAGTGTTGTTTACCTAAGGACGTTTCGAGCATAAATTATTGTGCATAATCATATTAATGTAATGACACCACTTTCGATATCTGGTTTTTACAGCTCTATATAATATTCTTTGCTTTTATTGGTAGTAAATTTCTCTAAATCTCTGGTAGAGGCATCGAGTCATTCCTGTTAGTTCTGTTAAGTGTTCATTCGATGAACAAAGATTCAGTAAACAATGTTTCTTCCTCTATCCATCTACTTATATTTGACTTAAGTATATTGGTTTCATCCCACCCTATTGTGTGGTTGTATGTTAATGCGTGCAATGCAACAGCCGAGTCCTTTTGCAGATAATTGATCTTATTGGGGTCTGTCATTCTATATTTAGCCAAACTCCTAACTGACCCCGATCGGCTAGTTTGACCCAGTCATTACACTGAATTTGACGGATTAGATTATTTTATTTATTGGAACTATTAGATACTTACACCGACAAAACTTATCTCTGAGTGTGTTTGTAGGTTGAAATGCCACCCTAGATCCAGTCTTGTTGAGAATCCTACATAGAACTTTTGATGTTCCTTCCGTATATGGTAACACACTAAAGGTTTTGAACCTCTTTCTACGCTTGTTGTCACTCTTATTGGCATTCATGATACGGATGTTACCTGGTTCATGCGAATTTCATAAAGTGATAGAGGGTAATAACTAACGCCTCTTTTTTTATGTTTCAATTTCTTGTTTAAGTCCTTGTACTGACTGATGGGTGTTTTAACTCTATTATCTAGACATTTGACTGAAACCTGCCTTGACGTGCATTGGATGAGGTGACCTGAAGTCTAAGTACCTTTCATAATGTGTTCGTTTCCTGTAGACGGTAGTATCTAAACCACCATCTGTTCTTCGTTTTGCTCTGCACACGTCTAATTCTCCTTGTTCGTTTTCTACATCGTTAGTGAATTGGATTGCGTCTACTTGTGAGTTTATATGCATGAAGAAACTGTAGACGTACTCTGATTTCAGCACGTTAAATGTGTCATCCACATATTGCAACCATATCTTAAGTGCAGTATTAAATGTTCATAAGACTTTTTGCAACCATCCATAAATATATCTACTGGGACTGGGGTTATTGGTGACCCCATTGCTATTCCTTCTGTTTATCAATAAATTTCG